ATCAACCAAACCACAAACGAGTGTTAGAGAAATTAATTCTAACAAAGGAGCCATTGGTGATATTTATGTTGTTTGGTCTGTGCATACTACGCGTGTATTAGCCTTCATTGCATTCATTCCTTATTTAACTTATCATATCGTTTTCCTTTGACGAATGACTCGATAGCATTCTGAAATTGAGGCCATATAATCAGTAAATTCATAAAAAAGTACATTAAGACAGAACTCCAATCGTGAGCGAGTAAAAATAGGTAGTCCCCTTAGCTAATCCAACCATTAAGCTTTGCACGAAGTCCTTTTTTATTGGGTGTGTATACCATATTTAGCTCTCACTTTGGGAGGTTGGTGGAGTTTTCATGCGTGATGGATGATCAGGGCAAAGCATGTTCCTTGACTCACGAGTTTAATGAAAGGGGGGCATGCCTCATGATCACCAATTGAAAAGGGTGACTTGACTTCCAAATTCTACGTTTCCCGACAGTTATTTGTGTTAAGGCCGTTGCACACGACTCAGCCTCTAACCCTTAAGAAGACCATTAATTTGTAAGTCACGTGAGACACCTTTCATTTAATTTTCCGTCCATTGTTAGTTACAATCAATCCATGATTTGAAAATTACGAGAGGTAAAGAAAATAAGTAGGAGAATGAAAATAGTGAAAATACTAAAGAAATCTTGTAAATAAGCTGAGAAAAATTGAATAAAGGACAATATTTAGTAGTACTGTACGGATCATGATAAATGATATATTTGGGTGGCAGGCTGCCATAAACCACAAGCCTTTTACAAGGAGCTTCCCCAGGGAACGAGAACAAAAGTGACATCGATTACGTGATATGATATAATTATATGATATGATCACATTACATTACTAATGTAGAGGAAACATTAATATCTTCTGTAAAACATGAAAGTTGGGTCTACGAAGTTGTAAATTGTATCAAACTTATTCGTTGGTTCGAAAAGCCTGCGGTTTTTTTGTTCTTCCAATTTGTCTGATATCCAGAAAATACGGAAGTTTTCTTCTAAGCTACCCGCCCAGAAATGTAGGGTATTTTTGCTCAACGGTGAGAAAATGTAATAGAAGAAAAGAGTAAAAAATGCACACACCGTTCTTGAAAGGTATTTTAGGTATCTTTTAATCAACGAATTTTAGTATGCAAAATAAGTAGATAAATTGATCAAACTCGCGATTCCTCGCCCTTATATTCGCCCGTTTTCATAGATTTCCCTGAAATCATTTGGTCTAGGTAAAGGAACCGTGATCTGAAATCTATCCATAATACCTTTCAGGGTATACCAATCGGATCGCGCAAATGAAGCGTACCTTCCAATCATGAAGAGGTAAGTAATGTATATGCTGTCTAATAAAGCTATCCATTCAATTAAAAGCATGGCAAAAGCAGTGTGCTATCAAAGCTCTGATAATATACGTGAACAAATTTCAGCATGCTCGCATCTCAACAAAGATAATGTCCGCGAACAAATATCCGTGCATTAATTGCGCCAAATGGAGGCTTTTGCCTATAAATTGGGAAACTCTATGTAAGGTGCTTGCTGGCCTCATCCAAACTCTCATATTCGGTTATTTCGCCATTATGGAAAACAAGAATCTTGTCACAGTCCTGAATCGTGTGTAATCGATGCGCTATAATGATGACTGTGGAGTTCTTGAGCATCTTGCGTACTACCTTCCAAATGGTTTGTTCTGTATCTGGATCCACGTTCGCAGTAGGCTCGTCCAAGATGACAATTTGATTTCGTTGCAACAGCACACGGGCCAAACAAATCAGCTGCCGCTCTCCGACACTTACATTCGACCCATGTTCTAATAACTCATAATTCAGCTGTCCATCGAGCCTTTCTACAAAGTCTCTCATCTGCACATCCTCTAGCACTTGCCACAGATCAGCATCTTCGAACCGCTCTTCGAAATCAAGATTTTTCCGCAAAGGGCCACCAAAGATGACGGGGTCTTGGCCAAGGATGGATATGAATCGTCTAGCCGCCTGTATGTTGAGATCTTTCAATCCAATGCCGTCAACTATTACTTGTCCGTTTGGGTCAGGCATGCGCATAAGACCCGCAACAATTGATGATTTCCCGGCTCCTGTACGTCCCGCCACTCCGATCTTTGCACCTCCTTTAATTGACAGATTGATGCCCTTCAGCACTTGCGGACCGCCAGGATAGTACGTCAGTGAAAAGTCTTGGAATGTGATATTTCCTTCGCTTGGCCATCGCGCCGGTGGAAGTCGTTCCTGTTTGTATCCGGGCTCAGGATCAATCTTGGTGTATGCCATCACTTGTTCTACTGACGTCATAAAAGTCTCGACATCTGCTAATTCTCTGACAGTGAGTTCAGTTATGGCAACAATCTGGATGATGTAAGCAAGAGATAGTCCCGCAAAAGCTGAAAGGCGAAATAGAAACGACACATGAATCTCCTCAGAAAAAATACCCTTGTATTTTTGAGTTGATTCTACATCTATTTGAGTTTCGTCTTTATTGAAAGATTAGCTTTTGCCTTTTGATGCTTCTGGTATGTGGCGTTATACTAAGAATAATGGCGTGAGACAAATTAAATGCTTTGAGGTTTATAGGTAGATCTTATTTTACAGAAATTTTCTAAAATGGCAAGAGAAATCGGGCCAACATTAGCTGACAACCCAGAATATTATAAGGATGACTAATTGATTCAGAAAACCACCAGGAGTCACCTGGTATTGTTCTCACGAAGAATGCCAAACAGCTTGTCAAGGCTGGCAACTCACTGACAAGGAGAGGTTCTTTTTATACGACAAATAATGCCTGCTTGGGTCGTCAAGATCAAGGAAACCTGCCTCTATACTTGCTAAAGGCCCTTGACCTGAACACCATTATTACGGTAGTGGATTTCTTTCCATACCATTCCTTGCAATTTTGATTTGAATTGAATATACTGAATTTAGCAATCAAAATTATGTGCAAATTTAGGCATAGTTCAACTAGTGCTATATGTCCTCAATCAATGTCAGCCGCCTGCGTCCCTAGGGTAATGACACAAGATTAGCCTTTGAGGTGCTATGGCGCACATTTATATTAAATCTGGATACCGTTGTTATTGTTGTTGTTGCTTGTCGTTTTCTCATCGTTCTTCAGTTTATGCCTTATCTTCTGTTATCAACAGCATAAACCTAGGTAAACTAGTTATCCATGAGATAACATCCATTTTTTCTTCAAAAAAATCTTTCACAAAGGAGGCTGGTAATACAATGTGGACGTGGAATTTTATGATTCAAAAGAATCATGGAACGTGGACCAAGTTTGACACCTGGTTTCCTGCGAGACCAAAAGTAAACAGTTTTACTCACCAGCATCCTGTGACATCAATATCGATGCGAGAGCCACTACGGTCACTAATAGGCAGGACAGAAGACTCAGGCGGACACAAAGCCATCTCGCGCCTTGTTTCCACGTGACACCAGCCTGATTGTGGAGATCTTGATGCCTTTGGGGAAAAAATTATTTGAAGTTAACCACTACCAGCAAACCATTTCAATGGCTGAAATTTAAATGATATTAATAATGCTGTAGTTTTTTTCGTTATAATAACAAAGTTAGTGATAATGATAATACTAATAATAATATCAATAATATCTCCCTATCCCTAGTGCATACAAAGTTTGGTTCAAATCGACTTTTTCGTGTGTGAATCAAATTTCAGTGTGTCCTACCCTCTTTAGCTTGGCAATGTTAATTCAAACGATCTGAGAGATAACGTATGCATAAGATGAAATTGGAAGAGAGCTAAAAAAATCAGGAACAAAAAAATCAAACTTTACGGGAGTACAATTTATTTAGCTAATAGTTTGAAATGTCTCATGTAGGGAATTTTGCTTATCTGCGCCCGGAGGATGTCATTTATCGGCCGGGTTTTCATCTTTTTTGCTTTTATGGTATGTTTTTTTAAGTCTATCCTATACAATTTTTCTGTCTATTCATTTTTTTTAAATCTTCATTTCATTTTTATCATTTGTTATGTTTTTGAAAAGAAAACCTCGCTGCACGTGGCTCCTATCCTAAGACTTAGGCGCACTGTTCCCCCATTCCATTGCTCGACAAGACTGACATGAATATCTGAAATGTATCTGCAACATGTACCAAAAATATCAAACATGTACCTGTGAAACTTATCCTCAAAAGCTCTCTGTCTGCTTCTTGTTCTAATAGTATCCAGGCCATTCATAGTTTCCGCTAAATGAGACAAGACCGGACTACGAGATGCTACCTCTAATCTTTTCAGGTCTCTAGATGTCTTAAGGTAATATCTCGTGATAAAACCGACCAGGACAGCAACCGGTAAAAAGAAGATCAGAAGCCAGGGATTTGCGACGATTGGTAGAGTAAACGTGGTCAAAAGTAGCAGCGACAGCTGTATCGAGAGTAGAAACTTTTGGGGAAGTATTTCATCCATGCATCCGATGTCCTCGGAGAATCTGTTGAGAATTCTACCCAAGGGATTAGAATCAAAGAAAAGAACTGGCGCTCGTAGGACAGCTATCACCATATTGTCATGAAGTCTTTCAGTACATTTTAAGCTCACTAACAAGAACACAGCTGCTCTTACGTAGATAAAAATGACGGACGCAAAAACTAAACAACCATAAATGATAAGTGTGCTCTTGTATCGCTGCTCCCCTGGTGGTCTCTTCACCAAAAACGCCAGCCACACATTTGGAGCCACAAGAATTCCTGGGAAAGAAAATGGGAGAATCGTTTGAAGCCAGATCGAGTAGTGTTGATGTAATGCATTCTCTATTGGCATCAAAATGGCTTTTTAAGAAAGTAAGTTTTAATATTTACTTAATCACAATACATCTTTTGCCTTCTAAGAAGGATAGGTACTAGGCTACACTCCTCAATAAACATGAGCTTGCTTTTTCGAAAGACAAAACTGACTGAACTGACTTACCCTGGGCAACAAGAAAAAAACAAATTGTTGCAATGATCGGTAAGGTACTAATTCCGCTTCTAAAGTAGCTCCAATACAGCTTAGATGACACATTTCCACTAAAGCGATTTTCCTCAGAAATCTCCATATCCTTTCCTCTACTGGTTAGTTGTACCATTCCTTCCTCTCCCTTTTTGCTCTTTTCCATGTTAGCGCTGTCAGACTTTAGTTCTTTCGGATCATTGTGGAACTGTGTAACAGTGCCGCCATTTAGAATGCATCTTTCTTGAAGCTCCGAAAATTTACCCTTTCCAAGTAATTTACCTCGGTACAGCACAATCACTTGGTCGGCTTCTTTTAAGTGTTCCTCTTGGTGAGCAGCTATCAATCGTGTTTTGTTTCCTAACAGCCCCATGATGCAGTTTTTCATGATATGTTGGCCAACTTTCAAATCCACTGCACTTAGAGGATCATCTAACAAATACAGATCTACATCTAGGTATATCGCCCGCGCCAAACTAATTCTTGCGCGCTGACCTCCACTCAGAGTGGCACCTCGCTCACCAACAAATGTTTGGTCACCGTTAGGAAACCTCCCAATGTCTTCTACAAGGGCGCAAACCTCGGTTGTCCTAGCGTACCTGATCTCATCGTAAGGCTGACCGAATAAAATGTTTTCTCTAATAGTTCCAGAGAAGATCCAAGCTTTCTGGGGTACATAGACGAACGTTCCACCAAAAGAAATTGTTCCACTCACGTTTGACAACTCGCCAGCGATTGCCGAGAGTAGAGTAGATTTTCCGCTGCCAACTGCTCCAGTGACCGCTGTGAAACTCTTTAGCGTGGTGTCGAACTCCACATCTTGTAATATGAATGTATCCTTCCTTTTCGTTTGTTTGTGCGTTAAACTCGAAACACGCAAATTTTCCTGTGTTTCACGGTCATTTTGGCTATCACTTTTTTTATCATACATGGCTTCTGTGAAATCCATTAAACTATTCTGCGGGTTCCCCATAATGACTGGGCTTTTTTCTACATCCCCTTTCTTCTTAGAGAACCTGTTAGAAGAAGTCAAAGGCAGGTTTTCAAGAAGAAGGTAGTCTTCTATCCTACTGAGGGAGACGTAAGCTTCATACGTTTTCAAGAAACCTTGGGCTAAATCAGTACAGACACTTCGCTTGAGGACGTTAATGTAAGAAAGGATCAGGAAGACCACACTGGGCGTGAGAGGCTGACCAGTTAACATGAGAGAGATGACAGACAGCAGGGTCCCTATTGGGGCAGCAGTGTACTCCAGAGTAGCGATGCAAGACAGCACTGTAGTGTTCTTTCGTATGATGCCAATTTCTTTTCTGTAAGTAAAGTGTAAGGATGCTCCATGTTAATACAAATGATTGACGTATGTGAGCGAAAATGTATATTTTGATGAACAAACCGGGCCTAACGCGCCAACTTTTGATTGGAGAGCGGCACTAGATAGAAATGAGCTGACAGAGGAGCATTTCTGAAGATGTCTATCGGTAAAAAAAAAGACACTCTACGGTCGAGTCAAAGAAACTCTGCATAATTTAGCGTTAACTATTTTCGAATGTCTCGGCCGCACAAATCAGTTAAGAAAAAGAGGATTTGCGATGGTTAGCCACCGAGGAGGGCTGTAATGTTGCTATCAATGTGTTTTATCTATGAGTGACGGTTGGTCTGTGTTTACAACTAACCCTGAGTGATATCTTTTCTATATCCATTGTAAGTCAAACATGTGCTGTATTCTATTTCGAAGCAAGAAAAATATCCAAAAATCATAGTTTTGAACTTTTTAGTTAAGCTCAATATTCAGATTGCGTTGAAACGAAAAGATAAAGTTCAAAGCAGTTTTAATGATGATTTTACAATGATTCCCAGTACCTCCTTTTGCTCCGTATTTTCTCGCGATAACCATTCTCACACGCAAATGCTTTTATCGTGCGGATCCCAGAAACCACTTCAGTTATCAGGGAAAGTCGCTGATCAGTCTCCGCTGCGGTTCGCTGGCGCATTAGGGCGTTCATACTGGAAAGCTCGGCGTAATATGGCACAAGAACACATAAGAAAATCACTCCCAAGACGGCCTGCCAGCCAATAAAGAAGGCAAGGATAAACGAAGCCAAGAAAATGTCCAGCCATACATAAGCTAAGGGGAAAAACCAATAGGGCGCTTCTACCATCCTCTGAACATCGTTTGATATAAGGTCAATCACCCGACCAGTTGAAACGTTCACCAACGTATCCTTGCTGAGAAGGAGAGTCTGAAATTAAAGAAATTACGAGCAAGCAATTAGATTACTATCTCAGATTATAAAGAAGTAGAAAACTTTCTTGCAATTAAAGTTCCGAGGAACGGTCCTTATCGTGGATTTTCCATCCTTAGGAGAGTAAGAAGGTTGTAATTCATCTTAGCTAAACGCCTACTTGTCGCAGCTTTCCTTTCTTACCTACGTGTCTCGTACAATTGTTGCCTATTCTATTATATACCCTGGAAGTACGTGCATGTTTCGGTGGGTATACAGATTTCCACCTCTGGTTGTCTCCCATTCCTGTTACTTTTCATTACTCAAACAAAGTGACTGTACAGAGAAAGGCAAAATAGGTCCTCTCAGGTGCTTACCTTGATGTAAACGAGACCTTTAAGGGCGCTGCTGACTTTTATTCCAAACAGTTCGCTGCAATATGCCCGATGATGGAGTCCAAAGGAGCCTATCAAAGGACTAATGCCCATTGCTATGGCAGCTCCGTACGTCATAAGAGTGTAGTGGTGATCATCTGAGGTCAGTGCTGAGATTAGATATGCAAGAAGCAGAGGCTGAATCATACGGTTTATAAAATTTAAAGCTTCTGAAAAAATAATAGTAGCCACTTCCCGAAAAGTAATAGTTTTTATAATGCTTCTCCAAAGTCTCGGTCTTCTACCACTTTCTTGGCTCTTTGTAATTTCACTGTTCCATTTCTTTTGAAGCTTTTTCGTGGTTGAGAAAGAAGTATGTTCTTCTGAAAGAGGTAGAAAGTCCTTCTCGTCTAAATTTCGCTTGTTGCCCGTCTTGAAAACATCACTCATCTGATGGAAGAAGAGAAGGGACAAAAACGACTCTCTGGATTCCTCAACTTCATCGGTAGAGAGTTTTTTATATCCTTGGCTTTCCATATTTTCAGACACTGGATGTGAGAAAAGCAAACAAACAAAACATCAATAAATGTTCCTAAGATAACCCAAGATTTCTTGTCATGCAGTGATCGGTTATCTTTTCCTGTCCCTGCTGATTGCAGAACAGATACGGAGCCATAATTCTCTTGGTAAACCATACCTTCCTTGCTTAAGCCCGAATTTCTGTGTGAAGAAAATCAATTTCCTTAATAATCATAACCATTACAAATTCCTCAATTCTTATTGGTGCATTCGCAGCTTTATTTTTCACTAATCATTCTGTACAGTTGTAATCGGACACCTGTTATTTGACAGTTGAAGTAGCCAATCATACTAAGTCCACTCAGCTAAATCCACCAGTCACAGAATTGATCACAATAACAAAAGCAAAAACCACTTATCCAAAGAAAAACTAGGCAATTTCTAAAATGGAGGAATTTTTAATTAAAGACATTGTCTCCACTGGAGATATTTGTTCTAGGTGTAGTTGTTTTTTTTTCGGAAATTGAAATGATCATGATTAATTGGTAACAAGATTTCTTGTCGGCCAATTCTGTCCATAATCGTATTCGTGATAAACAAATCGAACTCCCACTTCACGGTCCTCCGATTTTGTTAGTCACTCTATGATTACAGACCGAATTGGACTCCACTCAGTCCTATTACATTATGTATACAATCGGTTCTATGAAATAATTCCTGATTACAAGAAGCAAATAAGAAATACAACGAGCGGCAGAATTTTGAAGAACCGGTTTATTTTCAAATCCTATGCTATTGATCTGAAAAATATTTAGACTTTGCTTAATAATTTTCCGGATTTTTTACATCCATTTTGAAATCACTTGTGACCTTTGCAGTCTGATTGGCTCTCATCAGTGCGATTTATTCTCGAATCGCTCCATTTTTTGCTCTAAGTTACATCATTTTCCCAGTTAATGAGGAAGCTTTAACAAAACA